TTCTCCAACAAACAGATGCGTTTGGCACTGTGATGTTCAGGCTCACTAGAAGTAATGAGCAAGAGAGATCTCAACAGTTAAGAACTAGAACTAAAATATTCTGTCTCCAAGCTACCTGGTAAAAAAAACACACAACACAAAAAAAACCCAACACACACATGATAAAACACACTTCTCTCTGTTGTAGCTGTTATTCTTGAGGATATGTTGGATATATACCTATCCTACTAGTTAATGTATGTGGGCTGAGCCAGAAGCTTTTGGATATAGAAACTGTAAGGCCAAAGGACTTCCTCTGCTTGCCTTCATGCAGCTGTCTTTAGGCTAAAGGGTAGAGTTTTCCCCAACTCTCCTCAGTTTCTTCAAAATCAGGACCATGGCTGCATTGGAATCCAAAGGAAAAGGAAGGAGGATGTATCAGGAAATATACCTCTGTAACAGAAAGGTCAGAACCCTAACTGAAAATTTAAATTTGTCCAGGGCACTAACTGGGCTGTAACACAAGAAGGATATGTAGAAGGTAATCAATTTTGAAATCTGGTGTGAGGACACTGCCTACCATTTTTTCCTTTCAACATATGCCACAAATAGCCATAGCGAATGCAAAAGGAAACAGCTTACATATGTGCAATGTAAATAGTTTGTTTGCTTTATTGACATGAAGCTTAAGAGAAATAAACGGTAAGTGAATATCTGGTTAAGCTGGAAGTCTGAAACCACCATGGTGAGCTCTCAGCAAGTCCTTGGAAAAGCTTTATTGGTAGTAGGCCTACTACAATATCTTGAAGTCCTCCTACTCTCCTGGCTGAAGTTATAGCAAATACCAATGCCATCTCATCAGGTAAGTATAACAAAGAGCAAGAGGTCATAAGTGCAAAAGGAGGTCCAGAAAGCATTGCAAGTACTAGGTTTAAATTCCATCAAGGGAACAGCTCTCTAAAGGGAGAGAAAACTCTGGTTCAATTTTTTTTTTTTTAAATATTAAATTTTGGGATGCAAGAAAGCTGAATTTTTTGCACTTAGAGCTGAATTGCTTAAATGACTACCAATGCACTCCTAAGAAAGTAAGAATCCTGTTTCTTTCAGCTAAAAGAAGTGGACTAAAAAAAAAAGTCTTAGACATCTGAATAGACCACATAAACAGGTCTGGTAGAGCCCTTTCTCCTATTTATAGGTATTAAATAAACCTGTTGAGTACAACTGCTCTCTAAGTGGTTCAACTATTCACCATCTAAACTGTGAGAAGACTGAGATCTGAAACACATTTTCACAAGACAAGTGGCAGGTGAGAGTGGCTGAACAGACTCCAGTTGAAGGGTGGAAAACTGATCATGCCTTGGTCATGTGGAAACTATTAGGATATCTTTGAATTGTAGAAATGAATGTACTAACTGTGAGTGTCAAGGCAGCTAGAAGGCATCTCAGAGAGTCTAGACTCTAACCCTCCTGGGCTATACACTTGAAGCATTTTTTATTTTGTTTGTTGCAAAAAAGGTCAATTAAGTGAAAAAGTGTAGTGAAAATGAATCTCAGTGTCAGTTTTCAGAGACCAGTCTGTCACTAAGATGATCTGCAAGATCACCATATGTCACTGGAAGATGACAGACTAAGAGTAACCATTTCAGTTATAAAAGGTCCATAACTTTTGTACAGGCTCCTGACACAAGGGGGAAGATCAGGTGCTGACCTGCCTCTTGAGATGAAGTACAGTCATCATATACATCACACAACAAACTGAAAATCACCAAGTTCTTGATGCGAGAGAGGAATGCCTGGCACACTCAAAGCTGGCAAGGTCCATTGTGTAGATGTGATATTTTTTATTAGACCAACTAAATAGTTTGGAAAAAACATTATTTGCAAGCTTTCAGGCACAAACACCTTTCTTCAGCCAATGGGAGACTGCTGCTGTCTCTACCCGTCATCTTCCAAACTTCCACTCATTTGCATTTTCAGATGGACTTATTATACTTTAGCTACTTTTCTACCTTGGAGAACACACAAAAATTTTTCCAACTATTTAGTTGGTCTAATAAAAGATATCACATCTACTCAAAGAACCTTTCCTGCCTATGTCCTTAAACCAACACTGCAACCCTGGCCTACTTAATGCATCATTCTTCATTTTAAAATGCTTATATGGAGCATGAAATCCCAGTCAGTCCCCAGTTTCACGTCTGTTCTCCACCCTAAGGTGGATGTGTTTCTTTGCACAGCTTTTGTTGAAAGCAGAGGAGAAAGGTACCTAGTTTAAAAACAAAAAACAGCTAGAATTTTCCATCAATCAACAAGTAACAGAACTTGTACAAGTACACAAATCAACATGTTTAGCTCGTGTATGTTTTGATATAGATTTCAGTCCTGTCTGCAGGAATTATAAACAAGTCCAGAACACTGAGCCATGTGCAAGGAAGACATTTGTCCTAGTTCTGGATAATTCATTAGTCTCATCTCTGGGTAAGAACAGACTGAATCTCTGCAAGTTAGCAGTTACTGCTTTGAAATTAACTTAGATTCAAATGCATTTCATTTTTTACTAGAATCAGAACAAATTTGCCTTTGTTAATTATTCAGCTGCATGAACAGAGTATGAATCCGATGGATGTTAGTATATCCTGTGTGTACAAACAAGCCTCAAACCAGCCAATTCTTCAGCTATCAAAATATCTGGAACTACATTTCTGCGGTAAACTGCAGTTATCACGTATTTTGTAAAGACGACTCCCAGGATAGTATGCTATACTAGACGACAGCCTGTGGTTTTCATGCAGACTCAAAAAGATAGGCATCTTATGAACTGATAACAGTGCACTACTTTTCGCAACCCAAGGAAGGGACAACGGAGGCTAGCGAATGCCTCCCCCCCCCCCCCCCGTGGAGTCTAAGCGACGTTTGTCAGCCCCCCCCCCGCCC